ACAAGCATGTAAGGAGCGCATGCAGCCCATAGAGATCTAGAAGGAGCTGTTAAACGTAATACTGATAACTGATGGGTTAAAAATCTATAGAGAAATATGTTCCTATGGTACAAACGATTTTAAGTGGGAGGAGAACCAAAACAGAAACTTGTTTAAAATTTATTTTCAAAGAATACGCAGAACCAGAACAAAACCCAGAAAAAGTCAAGTTTTCAATTAAGATTTTTCCTCCAACTGGTTTACTGGAAAGTGTACTGTACACAAGGAATCCCAGGTCAAAAAAACAATTTGATGATCATTTGTGCAACTCCTGGTATTAGCTGAATGTCATGGATCATGGACTGACATGTTTCAAGTAAATAGAAACTCAATGTCAAAATGTAAAAAACCTTTGTTCCTTCAAACCTGGTGTGTCAGGTAAACATTAATCGCAGCAGGTTCATAATTGGTGATTGGCTGGCAGTATTTGACTCTATTTTAAGTCCATCCATCTATATAAAGAACTGCATGCTCTCATCTTCACGGGAAGTGGCCCAGGCCATCCCACAACCAGGCTGGTTTTGTCTGGTTTCACTTGAAGATCAAACAGGTATGGTGGGAACCAGGAGCCCGGAGCAGCTGGGTCACTTCCTGTTTCACCTTCTGAACAGAGGGGGCTGCCAAGACCAGCTTGCTGCACAGCTGTGACAAAGCATGAAGAGCAATAAAAAGTCATATAGCTTTTTAAGTGACTTTTAACATTGTTATATTAGTGTGCCGCAACCATTTAGGATGTTTCCATTTCCCGCAATTCTTGTCAAGAGGTTAGCCCTGCTTAATAAATGCATTCACATATATATCAAATAAACTCCAGCTGCCTGCTTTGTACCTGCTGTACAAAGAGGCCCTGGGGTAGTTAGAAAGGCTTTATTAAAGACAGGTGTACCGGACTGTAGCAGGATCAAAGAACATAGAGCCCTAATGGACCAAAACAACAGCACCTCTTTCAGCCCAGCATACCAAGTAAACAAACATAGCTAAGGCACAAAGAATTCAAACCAAAATCGCGCTAAATTAGGGCAAAAATATGGCACTGTACATTTCCTTTGTTTACTTTGTGGTATTTAGGTAACATACGAAGGTTTGTACCATTCTAGCTAGCTTAATAAAAGACAATCCTTCTCTGACTGGAAGATATATGGGCTTTAAGTCTATGAGGAACAGTTTTTGTATTTATGATACATCCCTCAAAGAATCGTAATGATTGCACTCGTACATCGTGCTGCTGTGTGGTGCCTATTATATTAAAGGCCGGTTTCCTCACTGAGCAGTCCGTTTCGGTGCCCTTGCCCAAACTCCCGTTCCTCTTCGCTTTGTTTTTCTCGAAACCTGCAATCCCCCTCCCACCTGCGCCGGCCGCCTCCGTCGTGTTTATCGTCGTGTCTACAGGCCGTCCCGTCGCACCGCCTCGCCTCGTCACTGACGGGGGAGGCGAGCGGCAGTCGCTCCCCTGACTCATTCGCTTTTGTATGTGGAAACCCGGTTTGAGGTTGTGAACTACTGAGCAAACGGCCTTCGGGATAACGTAGCCCAATTTGACGCAGTACAAAGAGGAAACGTCACCTCCCGCCTATGACTAATTGCTCTCCTTACCAGAATTGGCAAGTATTCACCATCAGGCAATGTTACGCGGACAATTTGTCATAGAATGACCAGTAGTAATTCAACACAACCTACATATACAAGGACATGAGGAGACCATCCGAGAGCTACAGGGCTGGCATGGGGAAATCCACCAGGAAGTGTTGAATTGTAGAGTACATTATGGGTTTTATATATTGCTATACTTATAATTAACCAGGAATTGTTCATTTTAAACACCTACACCAGAACGTACCGGGGAATGTCTTTGTATAATTGTTATGTATTAAACCAGGGGTGTTGATGAGGGGAAACCTAAAAATGTGCTGGGCTCTGGTCCTCCAGGACTGGAGTCTGACGCCCATGTATTAAACAGTCTGAGCTTTGCTGTTTAGTGTGTGTGTGTGTGTGTGTATATATATATATATATATATATAAATATTTTTTTTTCTTTTCCATTTGAATTAATAATACTATTCACAGGGTCAGATTTTTTTTCCTGGTATCCATTAATCTGATCATGATAAGAGCGGGTGCCTGTCATCTTACCACAGACCAAGACAAGCTCATGATGTTGATAAAACAATGGAGTGACTGAGAGAAAGGGAGCGAGATGGGGCCACTGGTATATCTGGAAGGTCATGCCGTGCACAGGGGCAGGTTTGTTTGCATTTAATCGTCTGGTTAACAGTCAACTGGCTGAGGTGAGAAGACCCACGGTGCCAGCAGGGCCGAGGTGGCAGAGAGGATGAGTGCCCAGTGAAGGGGTGTGTGCCCAGTCTGGAAATAGTGCCTCTCCTTAATGGCAAATATCACACTTTTCCTTAAAGCAGTCATGTATAATGCATTATAGATTCCTTCGTAATGCATTATAATGCAGTCATAGAGTATTATAAACACAGCTATAACCATTTATAAAAAGGCATAACGCATTATAGCCATGTTTATTGTGCATTATGACTGCCTTATGAAGATCTCATCTATAATGAACTACAGATACCTTTATAATGCAGTACAAAGCATCCTTAATGCTTATACCGACCATTATAATGCATTATAAAGGTATCTATAGAAATGTGTATTTTTTTAGAAAAGAAAGACTATTCAGGGTAATTTTTTGAAAATATATAACGTGCATTTTAGATAATAGTGTATATACAGGCCGAGGTAACAAGGGCATGAATTTAGCTAATTTCAGTGTCAATGTGAACACAGGATTCCACATTTGTCAGCTATTCATTTAAAACTTCAGCTCTTCTCCCCACCAGTTGATCTGTTCGGGATGCAGCCAATCCTATTGAAGGAGGAATCATTCTAATTTTTAAGTCTTAAACCTATGTGATCTAACTGAATGGTCAGTAAAGTACACTGGGATAGGTCCAAAAAGCCTGTTATACTGTTTATTCACTTTGCTTCTGCCATCATCTTATCTTTCATGTCTCTATGGTCAGTTGCGTAGTTTATGTGTTCAGCTCGACTAAATGCACCAAGATGAATGCTGTACAGAGTTAGCACTATTTCCACTTTTGCATTTGTTCTGGGCAGTATTCTCACATCCTCCATTTAAAGGGCAGATAGACTGCGTTCAGTGCAGCAGACAATAAGCCACGTCTGTTATTTTATGCTCTCTGTTACCTTTTTTGCCATATTTAATAATAACTTTCTTTGATCTTCGCGGTGGAGAGATGGTGATGTTGTTGAATGATGACCTGAGAACAACATGCCATCACCGTTATATTTGGAACAATACCTTTTGCATTTTTGGACTAGTGATGAAAGGTTAGGATGTAGCCAGATAGGTCCAGGGGCAGTTTTGATCCTGGTGAAGTTAGCGGAACCTACGTCTTTCATTTTGAGCTTTATATTTGTCTGGCGACAGAGGTGCATAACTTTCTGTGTTGTTAAGAAATTTATTAATAGTGATTTAATATTACCAGAAAACCATTAAAGGAGTCTGACCTATTAAATTCCCCTCTTTAGGCAAGAAATTCGGTTTATCAAAATGTAAGTTTGGACTGTAATAAAAGTTGATGTGGTACAGCTTCATTAGATGGCGTTGCGTGCAGTATAGATCACTCCCACACTGTTTTGATGCAGTGACATGAGTTTTGAAATGAGTTACCATGGCTACTTTTCCAATGAAGAGCAATATTGTAGTTTTTTTGAAGTTGTGCTTGTTATAATCTCTTAACTGGAACACGACCTATGGCATTCAACCTGCTTTGGAATTACCCACTGGAACAAGATGCCTGTTTTGTTTTCCGGAATATTCATCCGTCCATTTACAAGCAGAGGAGCCGAGGTCACTGTAAATAAATAAATAAAATACTTCACGCTGATTATCTATTCCATCGACATTAACGTTAGACAGTGTTGCTTGTGCTTCAGCGAAAATAGCAAAGAAACAAATGTTTTCAGAGGTGATGTATTAATGGGCTGAAGGGAAACTTCCAGAACAGTGGCAGGACCTGCGCCTGAGGCACTTAGGTTGGCCACCTAAGCAGCTGTGTGCTATTTCTGTGCTGCACTTGTACCAAAATTATGTGCCTCTTTTCAAATCGAATGGACAGTTTTGTGATTTTTTTTTTTTTGCAACTGTTTTTGGTGTGAGAAATGTATGAGAACCTTCAGCATGAGAATCTGAATGTAACACTTTACAACATTTTTTTTGGATCAATATCTATGAATTATTTGCCACTTGGTAAAAGTTCACGTTAAAATGAAGCCTCTGTTGCATACTGCCATTGCATTTCTTCGGCTTGTTGTAGGAAGCCGCTATTTTCTTATGCATATTGCACACTGTAGTATTGCCAGTATTGACATGTTAATGTGAATTTCGGTGTCTCACAAAGCAGTAAAGCATTGGAACAGTGTCTTCGGCTACCTGGCTTGCGTCAGTAAGCCATTCGACATAATCCCCGCCCCACCCCCCACTCCTGCGCACTTGATTCTAGTCCTTTCCACTACCCTGTCACGGGGGCCTCCTGGCTGCCAGGAGGGTCGTATGACAGAGTTCACCATATAAGCCCACGCCCCTGCCCCTTGCCTCAGAGGAGCACCGGCCAAGGTAGGGAGCGAGAGGGAGTGAGCTGTGCGTGGACNGGGGGGGGGGGGGGGGGGGGGGATCTAGTCCTCTGGGGCCTGCAGGGGTGACGTTACGGCGATTTCTGATCTGTTCCCATTCCAGTCGTAAACAGTCGAGTGGACGAGACCGGAGGGGGTGGGGTTACGGTGGTAGGGGGGCGATGGGGGGAGCCTGTGAATCTGTGATAGCATGAGTGTGAGAATCCAGTGCCGCTCACACCAGAGTTCTGCTGAGCGGCTTTCCAGGGGGAGTGTGCACTGTCCCGCAGCTCTCACTCCTCTCCCTCTGCTCTCAGGAACGCTCCCCGTCTCCATGGCCGTCCCCCCCGGCTGGAACAACTGACCCGTGTGCCTGGAGTAGGAGGGGAACTCGTCTGCGTCCGCCACCCCTGGTGACTACCTCTCCAAAGCAGTGTCCTCGGGCCAGTTCAGCGGCTCCGTCTGGGATAGGGGGGCGGGAAAGGCAGCGTTTCTGAGATGGCATCGGGGGAGATCACCACCCTCCCCGCCATACCTGAAGCCGGGGGCAGTGGTGCCTTCCCGCCAGGGAACTTCAAGGAGCCCAAGAGGCTGTACTGTAAAAATGGGGGCTACTTTCTGAGGATAAACTCAGACGGGAGAGTGGATGGCATCCGGGAGAAGAGCGATCCCCACAGTAAGTACTTCCATACGTGCCTTTTTTTCCAAGGTTGTTCAGAAATGAGAAACAAAGCTTCTGTGTTTGACTCCAGGATGGCACCGACTAGACCTAACAGACCCCGGATCCCAGATCAGTTTTCCTACATAAATTTCCCTCTAAGTTTATGCCCAAATAATGGAAGTGTTTTCTTGCTGACACTTACTAAATTTATCTGAAGAAAATGTTGACGACAATTTGCCCAAATGTAAGAGTAACAGTACATTTTAAATCCGTTGTCTCGTGGTAAATCATTAGGGGAAGAATGCAGTTATAAGGGGAAAACCTCACATCATTGCCGGGTATTGAGGAAGAACTTATAGTTATTATCACAATAAATTACTAAATAAACTCATACTTACATTGCTTTGCATTTGTCTACAGAATCCACATTTGATTCACCCAAAGCATCCCATTCTTTATCTGTGTCCAACTTCTATATCAAATTCTGTATCATTTTACTGTGTTTGTACGATGAGGAGCTCAGCTTGAGAATTTTAATCAATTGCCATATAATATGTCAGCATTTTACTTTGTTTCAGGCCACACACCTTTTCTCACTCTGCCATGAATACAAAACATTGTATTCAACAACAACTGAAGATTTACATGTCGTGTGAGAAATGATACCTGTTCCTGAGCTGTAATCAGTTTGGGGCTTTGTTCAGAGGCACACTGGCAGTGATATAATATAGGGAACAATGGCACATTCAAAAAAGATATATGAAGACATAAAAGATTATGATTATGAGTTATATAACTCTGATATCTTATGTGATACCTCAAACCGAATCATTTATTTTGTTGTTAATGAACCTGATGACATTTTGGCTCTAGAGTAACAAAATAAATCTAAATGAAACATAGGAAGAAATAAAGTAAAGTTTAATTTTCAAGGAAAAACTCTAAAAGTTTGCATTTCAGGTTATAATTTACTTTCCCTTTGCTATATCAAAATCACTAACGCGGTACATTTACAATATGGAATTGTGTTAAATGTGAAAGGTGACTTATACGTAATGAAGTACTACATTCTGCTTACCCTAACCAGAATGTATGGTTGGAAGATGAATGGATGGATGGATTGATGAAGTGCTTCAATCACACTCATGTACCATGAATGAAAGTTAGAAAACACGCAACATTAAAGGCCCTGTGCATATGTTATTTTTTGCATCCTGGGACTGGGAGACAGGTGCAGAGGACGGGGGGGGGGGGGGGGGCTCTTTGGCCTGTGGTGCCTGGGTGGTGACCCAGCGTGCGAGAGGTGCCCTGAGTCATTTGGCTCTCTCATCGCACGGTTGCAGGAGAATGCACCAGAGACTGCAGCTGACACACAGGTGCGAATCACCACTGTAAGGCGATGTCTGAAATCTATGCAGCTGTGCAAATAAGACTTCATTCTGAAACAATACTTAATATGGAAAAGAGCCTCTTTCTGAGTGGGGATACTCTAATATTCCTGAGAATGTGATTAAACCACAGAGCTGTTTGGCTTCTTTGCCAGACAAACCCCTCTCAAAGTGTCTCTAATTCTACACTGAGAACTGTGACAGAATGACAATTTACAAACACACAATTCTTTACTGGGCTAGCTCAGTAAAAATGTAGTCCAACATTTTTTTTTAACTAGGATAGAATTCAGAATTCTGTACTCACCCTTTATTAAATTAAACTTTAATTTCCAGACCTCTCTGCAGCACATTCTTTTTTTTAACATAACTGATAAAAATGACAGTCTAACATCTTGGGTAACACTTTACTTGATGGGGCACAAATAATATAATTATGCTATTACTTATGGATTAATTAACCATAAACTAAGTCTTAGTTACACACTGATCTCATGTTGATTCATCATTAATGAATTGTTATGCATGTTTTATATGAAGCAGTTACTATATTTGTTACTATATCTGTTAATTCTGCAAAACTTTGTGAACTACTGAAGGAACAAATACTGAATAACAGAAATTCAATACTGATCTCATGTTTGTTAGAACATAAGAAATTTACAAGCGAGAGGAGGCCATTCGGCCCATCAAGCTCGTTTGGGGATAACTTAACTAATAGCTCAGAGTTGTTAAAATCTTATCTAGCTCTGATTTAAAGGAACCCAGGGTTTTAGCTTCCGCTACACTAACAGGAAGACTATTCCATACTCTAACTACACGCTGTGTAAAGAAGTGTTTTCTCAAATTCAATTTAAAATGTTCTCCCGCTAATTTCCCACCTATGGCCACGAAAATGAATTATTATTATTAATGAAACATGATACATCTTTTATCTCAAGTTGCAACTATATTCATTCATAATTTGTCCATAATTTGTAGTTTAGTAGTTACTGAGTTATTACTAAGTATTTGTGCCCTGTCAAATAAAGTGTTACTATATCTTGGATTAAAGTCTATAACATCTTGGATTAACATGGCTAATATTTGCTTTTTATGTGAGGAATATTTGTTAAAGGAGTTTTTGTTACAGAGTATTTATGACAGGAGAGCACAAAACAATGCTGATCCCTGCACGATGGACATTTTGACCTGAACATGATGATCTAAATGAACTGTAAGCCTTTTGGAAAGAAAGAGAAATTAGTCAATAAAAACCATAATGTTGTTGTGAGGTGTGTTGCAAGGGCCCGGGGTCCACATGCATGTGGATGAATGCCGACATGTTCGCTCATCTCACAAGCAAATAATGCCACAAATGGAGAAGCATTTTCCAAGATCTTTCTCCATCCCATTACCGTCAGCGCCGACCTCCGCTGGCCAGTGTTTTTGGCAGGAGGAAATGTTTACTCTACACTATCTTCCATCAGAGCTCCCTCTTGTAATGGTCCTGGTTTTATGTTTTTTTTTTGTTGATTTTAAAGGTTCTGTGGAGGACAATTATAAGTAACAGAAGATGTTGTATGTTTAGCAGTGTTGTTTTATGAATGGAAAGTCCTTACATGTACAGTCATGTGTAAAGGGAAAATAAATCGTTAATAGCAAAAATAATTCGGAATATTTCTTAGCTTCTAAAAATCGCCTCTGGTGTTTGGTTTGCAAACCCAAAAAACAGATCTCATAGGGGCCAGGATGCCCAAGTGCAGTAGATCTGAAATGTAGCATGCTTTTGCAGAGTAGACAGAGAGAGTACACAAAACCTCATGCTTATTTAGTAAACTTAGTGATTTGGAGGGAAAAAAGTATCTCTTCACAGACCACAACCATGTGGAACAGTTATACCATGATGATGGGGTTGGGTGTTGACTAAGGAGTGAGCCACCATAATTTGAAATCCATCAGCAGGTGAAAGATATGAGATTCTAAATAATATTTCATGAACAAACTTGTGCCCGATACCGATCTGCCACTTCTACCTAATACCCAATTTGAGGCGCCACATTGCACTGAGGCAACAAAGAGTTTCGGATTTAATGTAAGAATGAGGCATTAATCTTTCATAATGAAACAAGGCAGAAAGATAGTTCTGGAAATGTAAACAACTGAACAAACCTTTCCCTCCCCCCCTTAAAGCATGTGTCAAGTCTTGTTGTCCTGCCAAACTTGGGGGGGGGGGGTGGGGGTGGTGGCTGTTATCATGACAGTAAGACAAAGTCATTCAACCCATCCAGATAAAACATTAATTGCATCCTGTGCTCTTAAATAAAACTGGCTTAGGAAAAGAGATGGGAAGTTACACTGTTGACATTTCTCCACTGTTGAAATTGGGAAATTACTGAAGGTCGATCTAAGGTTATCTATCTATCTATCTATCTGTCTATCTATCTATCTGTCTATCTATCTATCTATCTATCTATCTATCTATCTATCTATCTATCTATCTATCTATCTATCGTTATTTCAGTTAAACTGCAGCTCCAGGCGACCTCAGTGGGAGAGGTGGTGATTAAAGGGTTATCAGCAAACCGTTACCTTGCGATGAGCGAAGATGGAAGGCTGTTTGGCACGGTGAGTGCTTACCGTCACATTCTGGGTCATCTCTGAGTGGGACTGTGAAGGGGAGCGCTGTTGCCATCGTTCTGCTTGTCCAGATGGCGCTCCTCAGTTATCTTGCAAGCATTAGTTACAAAACGTCTGTAACATCTAAAGGCGTCTCCCAGATTTATTTCACTACTGTTACCTTGTAAACCAATGTATGTCTCTACCTTATACCAAGACTGAATATATCTATACATATGTGTAACTTTGTTTTGCTTTTTTTTATAAGAAAAAAATTAAATACCTAATAGCTGCATTTATAACCAAATTTTCCATCCTGGTTTTCAAGTGCCATATTTATCATAATATTTGCCCAAGTGAAGTAACTATTTGAGTAGTGATGTCCATCCCATATTTTCACCTGTTGTAGGTGCTGTTCACTATCACTTGCTTGCTTTCTTTAGCACATAACTCTCCTGCTTCACTGTTTTGCGAAGCAGGTATGAATAGTAGTTCACTGATTACAACTGAATAAATCAAGTGATGTTTCATTTACTTGTTAATTTCACATTTCACCATGATTGCCAGCTTTGTGAGATACTGAAATGTTCCTCATGCTGGTTAATGATTCTGAGAATAACTGTCGAGAAACACTACTGCTAGGTGCTTATAACTAAAAATGGGAATAGTGATCGTAGAAAGTGGCCTAGGTCTGGAACTTTGTTTGAACATGAAAGTGGTGTCTGGATACAGGCAACACGACAACATGATTCATGTGCATTTTTTTTATTCATTTTTCATTTTGACTCCAAATCTCCCAGATCTTTAACTTTGTGATGCAACACTTTCTGAACCTATTGCTTTTCCAAAGAGGACAATGAGACACATGTTTCCAGTTAAGGGTTGCTAACTTTGCTGTGCTTTTGGCATCAGGATAATCTAATGTGCAGTCAGACAAACTCATCGTTCCGAGAACCTCTCGGAAACTTCAGGAAGCTACAGAAACATTCACTAACGTGCTTCAGTGCTTTTGTCATTTTCCAGCAAAATGCAGACGTGCTTGTGAAAGTCGTCTCACTACCATTTCGTTCCTATTGAAACTCACGTCTCAGATGGTGTGAGTACAGGGTATGGGTTTAAATCATTCAAACACTTACTGCAGGGTATTTCTTCCAACATCTGGCATCCTGGGTCAGTATTTCTACATCAGTGTGATGTAGAAGCAAAATATTATTATAAATTCTGGTCCTTTGTTTGAAGATTAAATCTCAAAATGAATGGGAGTGATACTGTTTTATCAGTTTTCAATGCTTAGTACCTTGAAGGTATTTGTGTTGCTCAGGGGTATGATAAAATAGCTAATTTAGATATTTTAAATAATCAATAATTACAACAAGTTGTGTTCACTGTTATTTTTATTTAGATATATCCATATATGAACTCTCATATAAGTAAGACAGAGAAAAATTGAAATAATATCCTTAAAATGTTTAGTAATTTCCTTCGAAGAATTTGCACCTGATACACGCAAGTAATAATTCAATTTGTAACACTGGAAAAGAAACAGACACTGATAAGCAGCAGTTCGGCAGGGCTGCTGAGGATATTGCCTAGACGACAGTCTCTTGTGCTTTGACCCAGATCTTTGGTCATACTGGGAAAGGTTGTGGTTGCAGTGAAATAGACCTGAATTTCTAAAGCTTCCACCCATGAACTGGTGCACTTTGAGTGCTGCACAGTGACATATAGGCCCAACTGAGGCTCTCTAAAGGGTATGGAAAAGCTAATTTGGCCTAACATTGCATCTATCATATATATTTTAAGGGACTTAATTAAAAGTTAGAAATCTATTTCTTTTTACACCCATGTCCTGTGGATAAAGTGCCATGAAAACTGATCTGCAAACAAATTTAGTATAATGCAAAAGACAATCCGAGTAACCACAATACACAGCTTTTAAATGACTGATGTGTTGATTAGGAAAAAGGTTCCCCAAAACCTGTATCACCCATGTGAGAACATGATGACCCCCACCCCCCCCCCCCCTCAAATTTGATACTTGGCTGTGGCAACTTTAGCAGCATCAACTGCAATCAAATGCTTCCGGTAACAGGAGATCAGTCTTTGGCTTCGCTCTGGAGGAATTCTGGGCCACTTCTATTCAGAGAATTATTGCGATTCTGCCACGTTGGAGGGTTTTCGACTATGAACTGCCTGTTTAAGGTCGTGCCACAACACCACAATGGGGTTCAAGTCAGTATTCGATCTGGCCAATCCAAAACCTTGATTGTGTCAGAGGTCGCGGTGCAAGGTGAGAACGCGGGAGTGGGGATCCAAGGTAAACAAATGGGGTTTATTAACAGAACGGGAAGACTTAACAGAACTGAAACAAACCAGATCACGATGGATCAAAACGGCAGCGGTTAAGACACACAAAGATTGCAACATCAATGATGGAACTGACTAACACACCACAGGGAAGCACGTATTAGCAGGGCTAATAAGGGATCAAACAAGGGGCAGCTGGAGTGAATCACACGAGGGCTCAAACGAGAGGTAGGACAAACAGTTAGTGGGCGTGGCTCGTTAGGGCCACACCAGAGAGGAAACAGGCAGGACATGACAGGTGGAGTCTCTCCAAAGTGTCTGATAAACTACAGCGCCAAGGTTATGGCATTTTAGGAGTTTGTTGTCAGTGTAGAAGAAAACACAGCTTGATGTGTTTGCTGAGAGATTCATAAGAAGCGAGGGTCATATCGGCCGATTATTCATCAGCTTTTATTGCAGTAAACAAAGAAATATTTGTATTAAGGTTTTTAGTAGGTGTGAAATAGCTTTGCTGAAAACTCAGGGCAATAATGCAATAAATCCTTTGACAAGACAAACTTCATCTGGCCTCAAAGTGTGTGAAGATATTGTTCTTGCTAAGGAACATACACCACTAGATGCATGGGCTAGAGCTATGAGTATGGAAGTGGTTTTGTGGTTTAGCGAACGACTTCACCGCTGCCTTAACCCTCAGGAATATTTCATTCCAGCATAATGAATACCTTGTGGCCACTTTGTGACAAGCTTGTTAGTGGACACAGTGCTTCCAGCAGAGCAGTCAGAGTTGGGAGCTGTTCACACACGTTTCTGCGGCATGGAGCCACACGGGCTGCTGCGGGCGCTAATGTGGATGTAGCTAGCACCGATGCTACATGTAATTTTGTCACATTAGTAACTGACGTCCAAGATATTAAGTGCAATATTTGCAGAATGAGTTCTGTTTTAATAATCACTAATAGGAATTATATGCAGTTCTACGTTTTATAAGAACCGGTGTTCTCCTGGAATGTTTAATTTCCAGGAGGATGTACGTTGTAGGATAAAATTATTTTATTTGCGCAAACTGTGTTTACAAGATTAAAAATAAAAACGTTGCACGGAAAAGAAGGATCACATTGACTTAAGTGAACCGTGCCGAGGCCGCTAGACCGCTTCCTAATGGACTTTTAGGGTTTGGCTCCCGGTTCATTAGCGTGGGCTGCAGTCATTCACCTTGAGTGGGTTTCAGTAACTGGCGTCAGAGGGGAGGCCTTCTTAGGTAGGGCCTCAGACACAACAGCGGCCTTGTTGTCCGGCCTGCCTTCTATGAGCTCGGTCACTCCTAGCAACCGAGATGGGAGCCAGACGCAAGGGTTTGGGTCATTAAGCCTCCCATACATTTCTCTGACCTCAGAATCCTTTTGTGGTCGCTTTTATTTTTCGTCTTGATTCCCTCTCGTTTTTATGAATGGTCAGTTGTCGTCTCAATATGGTACCTTTCTGAACTTTAATGAAAAATGAAGGAATATGACATGGCTTTGTTTTCTTGACTTGCTTTCCTCCAGTTTAAAACAAGACGTATCTTGAGGAATATCTAATGAAAGTCAAAAGTCGAAGCTCTCTGGTTACATTGCGGGAACAATGGTAGTATTGTTGACGGACCAGAAATGCTTATGTGTTGAATTACCATTACCAAAACTGAGGCTTTGATCCCTCCTCCCCCCAAAAAAATAGATTACTAGTCACACCCCCAGTAGAATTGTTAGTGTAACCATATAAAGTGACAGTGCAGGATGAGGATTGTTAGGTTATACCAAACAACTGGAAAATAACTACTAGGTTACTTGGTGCTGGAGTACGTTTACCTAAGTAAACACCAGACATTCCAGTTCAGGAAATCATTAAATTTAGAAAGTCATTTCCTAGGGCTATGTGTAGGAGGAGTTACGTGTCATGCAGTGCTCAAATTCCTGGCCAATTGTCCTTTCGAAATGTGGGAAGCACATAGTTATTTTGAAGGCCTATCTTTAAATGTTATGTATTTATAAGAGCGGCGTACATTAGTATAATGATGGAATGGAGAACTGTGATGGGCTTAATATAGGCACACACACACACACACAGACCTGTACTCATATCTTTGTGGTGACTTTCCATTCCTTTCTATGGGCAAAACCCTAATCCCAATAATGACAACCTTAACCATAAGTAACCAAACAAAATACTAGTCATTTTGTATTTTTAGTTCTTTGATTGCAGTCACAAATTATTAGAAAATTGAATTTCCCCTTGGTTATATTATTTCTCATACATTTTTGTCCATAAAAAAATTTCTGTTTAAATGTGAAGAACATTGGCCACACCCTCTAACCCTATATCAAATGCCACAGTAATATTGTTTTTCTTTGTGTTTCTCTTACAGAGACGTGCTACAGATGAATGCTATTTTATTGAAAGACTGGAGTCTAATAACTACAACACCTACCGCTCAAGAAAGAATCCCAACTGGTATGTCGCCCTGAAAAGGACTGGACAGTACAAGTCAGGGTCCAAAACGGGGCCGGGGCAGAAGGCGATACTCTTCCTCCCCATGTCAGCAAAATGCTGATTTCTACACGTCAGCGAAGAGCCGCATACAAAACAAATTCAAACCCGAACAGGTACTAAAGAGATGTGAACATACAAAATAGACTCCACTAGATTCCACCTACTCAGCATCAGTCTCGTCAAACGTTCTTAAGAAACTACTTTCAAAATAATGTAAAAATGACCATAATGTGAAGTATTTTACACTTTCTGATATTTAGAAAGTATCTACATTTGTGACATCTCTGTAACAAAAACTGAATGTGTGATGTGCATGCAGCCAGTCGACAGCACCGATTCATAATCTTTGATTTTGTGAAATATTTAGATAAGATCCAGACATAACCATTAAAAATCATCTTCTGACTTGTTCTAAAGTACTTCCCAAGTACAGTAGTTAAAGAGAGATATCAGTACTTCTCTGTTTCCATTTTAATATCTGGTGTAAATGCCATTCACAATTCAATACCAGAACTATCCAAAATATCCGAGCATAACACTTGACTGGTTAACCAGTCCATTTGTGGGTCCACAAAACCAATGTGCCCTTTTTGCAAACTTGAACTTTGCTGTTAATAATTGTGTGTTACACATTAGAAAAGATCATGAATAATGTAAGAACTGCTACATCGTTCCACGGAGTTCCCAAGTTGTTCATCACATGACGGGCTCCAGGCAGTAATCAAAGTGTCCACGGTACAGTTTGAGTTTGCGAGCTTGATGAGGTGCTCATGGCTGCTTGTAAGACGTAGGCAGCTCCCTGTGATACAGCTGATAGAACAGCCCCGAGTAGACAGCTGGCATCTCCTCCACGGAGAGGTCAATCTTGTCGAAGCCTTCCCGGTAGCCATAGAGGAGGAGTTTGGCTATCCTGCTGGTGATGGGCGTGGTGGCGTCGGTCTGTGCCAACTCGGCCAACCCTATCCACTCACACCGGAGACACTCCTGGGTGCAGAAGTGGATGGCATGGGACAGGGGCCTGAGCCGGCAGATGAGATACATGTCAGACATGCCAAAGGCTCCCGGGTGCTTATGCTGCTGCCGCACGCTCAGGAGGGACTGGAACTCTGACCGGACCCCCGTCTCCTCAAAGACCTCGCGGACCGCCGTGGCACCTGCAGGGCGTGGAGACAGGTTCTCAGAACGCACTCCCGACGGGTAGAGCTTCTCAAGAATGGTGCACTGGTACGGATTCGTTATATCCCCATTTTGGAGATTGACCCTCTCTCTGAAGCAGGGCTCTTAAATATTTCGGGAAGAGTTTTGTTCCAGAACCAAACAATACTGTTTTTGTTCTTACTCATGTATGCTGTACCCAGTCAGAGAAATAAAAGGAAACAGGAAGTATTTGTACATTAAATACTTCCTGGGTTACATTTTTCAAACCAGCACCTGGCTCAGAGGGTTAGAACACCGTGCCTATAATCAGAAGGTTGCCAGTTCAAAGCCCGAGGTCGACTGAGTGATTTTACTGTTGGGTTCTTGAGCAAGGCTGTGAACACTTAGCCAAGGACTGACCATGGTTTCTCAAAAATGAATGTCACTTTGGATAAATGTGTCTGCTATATAAATAAACAATATAAGTAGTTGTGTTACATGAGCTTGCAAAAAAAAAAATCATTTAATAATCTTGGAAATGCCTGGACATACCGCAGGTTAAAAAATAATAAGATCATTCAGATGGAAAATATGTTGCCCATGTATATTAACAAAAAATGAATCAAGCGATTATTTTGAATAGCCTATTACAACTGGTATTGATTTTTTTGTTGGGGTAACACAGAATGTATTGTTGAATATATGAATTCTCACTTTTCTAGGATTTGTTTATATCCAGGATGAGGGATGTCATGGATCTGTATTTTATGTTTTTAACATCAATTTTTATATATCAAAGCAAAATATGTTAATGAGAAATGATGGTGACTTATGTCAGTCCAGCAGGTGTCTTATTAAACATCTTGTGAACTTGTCAGAAAATATATAATGAGATACTATTATTACGTGATGTCAAATCAGATGGTAGTCCTGTAGAATGTTGTCTATAATGAGATTTAGTATTAGTTACATTCTTACATTTAAGTAATTATTTGCAAAATAGTAATGTCGGAAAATAGTTTTGAATATTTGAGCAAAATGCTTTAAAGATATTTTCTTATAGTAGAGCAAAAGCTAATTTATTGTTATTCATATTCATTTTATTGTTAACTGAATAAAGAATTAACTTTCACGGCATTTAGGTTATTCTTCCACCAAGTACCAGGTGATGTCTTTAACAGCAAACAGTTCAGCTGTATTATTCACACAACTTATTAATACTTGTTAATAGCTTAGTATCAAAACACATTTATCTTAGTATTTCTATGGAGTCCAAAGCTGCTTTTAAAATCGATTTAAAAGAACTAAATAATATTGTGCAATGTAGGTTTCAGTATGTTTTATCAGTGTGTGAGTGAATTCAAGTTTTGGGTGTAATATGAGTACAGTTTTTTCAAAGCCAGTTTTGTGATCTACAGACAGTATGTGTTACAAGTATGTCACTGTGCAACAATGGACTGTGCAGAGCGTCAGGGCAAATGCTGCTGGCGGATAAATGAAACACCAAATATGTTACTTACCAATATCCTCACCCAGATTTGAGAGACCGCCAGGGAACTTCCACGCATTTTTAGTCTGTAATGAAAATCAGCAAAGTACATTTACAAAGGCCTTACTCCATAATGCACACCACGCTGCAACTCTGCTGATTTCACTGGGATGGAGTATTTGGTATTATCACTATCACACGTGAGTGAGTCTGTAATTGTAATGTGATTCTAAGGTAATATCTGTCTCTGAGGCTGAGATGGAAAAAATTGTGTTCTACTGATTATACGTCTTATATTGTATTTAAGAAAATAAAATATGCTGCTGGATAAATTATGATGTTGCTGTTATATACGTGTTGTCATACTGAATATATGTATCTAAGATTAGAGCCAATCGCTATGTTCCAAAAATCCAGCCATGTTTAGTCTTGTGTAATACATTCATAACTGAGAAACAATCGCTGTAACATGCTGTATCTTTAATGTAAGGTTTTGCTTTTTGAGGAAACTTACACTATTATCAATAAAATATATTTTGGAAGTGAAAGCTATGTGGTGTGCAGATCTGATCACTGAAGCCAGTCAGCCCCTACCATGTTTACAGAAAATATAAACCTAAATGCAATACTGGAGGATATTATATGATTTGTGCCTTAAACACTATTTATGTGCATATTAAAACTTTGCTACTCTTACGCATTGGGAAAAGAAAAGTGATTTACAGTGCAATTGAAGAAGATGATGGGAAATCTTGGATCCAACTGTGCACACGGACCACATTCTCCGCACGGAGAACAGAGATTTAAGACGCCTAGCCGCATGTCGTTTCTACACTCCCGCGCTGACGTCACGGCCGGCGGACACCTTCCAGGCTTCTCCAGCAAGAAATATAAACTGGAACCACTCTGGCCAGCATCTGCCTGCCAAGACATACTGGCCAGTGGCAGCAGGCCAGGCCATCTGCAGGGTTCAGCATCGGGGACGGCATGGAGCTTCGGATGCTGGCCCTCGTGACCAGGAGGACACGGGTTCAAGTCCAGGGTGGAGGACTGTTCTTCTACGTCTATGAGTGATGCTTAACTTGAATTAACTTGAAAAGGTCCAGTATGCAGCTTGCATAGACTACATCTGCAGTAGTCCAGCAATGAAGAAACAGTGTAAATCACAGCCTGGGGTTACTCCCTGCCAAACTCTTACATCCAATGTCATGTATCAGCCCATACCCCACTTTCAGGGAGAGGGGTATCGTTGGGGGATAAGTGCCTCTATACCCCTGTAACTAAGTGTATTAAACATAAGACAAGTTCACTGCATTTCAGAGAGATGGGAGAGACTGGCAGCAATGACCCTGCTCTTGTGGTTTTACTTAAAGCAGTGTTTCCCAACCCGCTCCTCAGGGGCCCACAGACGGTCCGTGTTTTTGCTGCCTCCCAGCTCCCTACCAAGCAGTCCACATTTTTGCTCCCTCCCAGCTCCCGGTAGGAGCAAAAACGCAAACTGGTTGCGGATCCCGAGGAGTAGACTGGGAAATGCAAGGTGCTCAGTTCGCCTGCATGAAATACCTTGAGGGGGCCAATAAGGTCCTCTCAATCCTGCAGTTTCCATGTTCTCTGGGTCTGCTCTCTGTCCCAAAGAACTGGCTTTTAGACAGATCTGTTTCCTGCTCCTTTTAAAAATGGGCACGTGGAGTCGACATGCAAAAAGTCTTCCTCTGTATTTCACGACCACCAGCCTCCACTCTAACAACACAAGAGAGGCATCTAGCCACAGATTCTACAGACAGTATCCCTGTCAGTCATCCCTGTCAGCCATCAGTACACTGTGGAACTGCATTTGGTACAGGTGACAGGAAAGGGTGCTTTACTACTTACAGCTTGGCCCAATCTAGAAGCTTGCTGGGTTAGGTGTCTGTATCCAGAAGGTCATTGGGTTAAATCCCATGGCCAGCAGAGTAATCATTTTACCATTAAGCACTTGTGCTAGACCTTCAACCTCATCTGCTCCTGGTATGCTGGTTGACCCCGAGCTCTAACCCCAGGATTTCCTCACTTTGGCAAAAGTCCCTGCTAAATGAATGTAAATTCAAATGAGGGGCTTCTTCCTGAACAAGCCAGGCCTACATTTGGAGGTAGCCCATTGCATGCTGGGAGAGCCCTAGCCATCATTCCTCCACTTCCTCTGCTGGCCCATTAAGTTTATCCAGGCTGAGGATATGAGCACTTCAGTGAATTTTGACAAGCACTTCAATTACCCTGAAAGCATTAAAATGGCTGGGAGGAAAGAAAAACCGAGAAAGGCACCATGACAAATATTCACTGCAGTACGGATGCCAGTCTCCTTTTAGTGGACAAACTGAAGTACAGACTGTATGTTTCTCAGTGCTAGCCAGGGAGTAGAGCGAACGAGGAGAAACCCTCTCAAAGGCGTCACAGAGCCTGGATCCAGGAAAAGCTCCTTAAATAAAACCCATTAATAGCAGCCATTTTTAGCAGTAGGGGAGTTGGTAATGGGGGTCGGTCACCTTTCGGCATTTCAGCGCATACAATAACAGCACAGTTTGCAGGAACTCTTGAATATCCAAACCACTACAGCAGAGGCCTTTAGACATTCATCAGAATCTGTTATGATGTATGTTTTATACATTTTTAGTTCTGCCTGCTAATTTTCATATCTATATAGAATAAGGTCATTATGAATAGTGAGGGTATAAGGCTAGTTTCAACACTGGTAGGGACCAAATCAGTCCAGAATCCCCCGTCCCCATAAACATAAAAAAGCGTACTGTTACACATCGTACAGCAAAAAATATCGTATCATGTACTGGAACATAACCTGTAATGAGAACATTTATAATTTTAGATTTGTTAAAAAAATAGCCTATTCTGGGTATTTACTGGCTTACAGCCTATAGATGGTTTGAAACTTATGAACTGTTTATTTAGGGAATTTTTCACATTTTCTTTTCCAGACCGTGGATAACTGAAACTGCAGTTACTGAAACCACTAATATGGGGTCCCACTGATTTTTCTGCATTAAAAATGCACAACTGTCTCTGGGATAGAATTTTAAGTCATAAAAGAAACATGCCATCAGATATGAACACTGGGCAGTAAGGCCTGTAACGGGAGCAGATGGGCAGGCAAACCTTGTTTTTGTCTTGAACGACAAGGACTTTTCCGCTGGCCTCATCTAGGACGGCACCTTGACAGGACACAAAGTTGAGTTACTCGTCAGATCATTCATTCGCACAGCTCAACATCAGAGCAGCACAGCTTCAGATTACAAACATCAGTCGTATGGACTGAGCTGCCTCAGTTTCCAGGGCTAGAGTTGAGAATACAAATACTTTAACGGTGGTAACACACTGCAGTGTTTGCAAAGAGAAGAACACATTCGAGCGAACAACTGAACACATGGATTTGTGTACATTTGGTCAGTTATTTTTGCGGAGTAGCTCATGACACAAACTGTAAAATGCACAATAGCCTGACAAACTTCATAAAAAGAGGCTTTAAGAAGGGCTTGCAATGTATTTGCTGCTTGTTATATAATGTTTGTTAGTGACAGATAGATGCTTTATTGATCTCAAAGGAAATTTAGGACTTTCCATTAGACCAGCGTTTCCCCACCCGGTCCTCAGGTAGCCCCGGACAGTCAACATTTTTGCTCCCTCCCAGCTCCCAGAACTCTTGTTCTTGATTGGCTGGGAGCTGGAAGGGAGCAAAATGTGGACTCTGGGGGTCACCGAGGACTGGCTTGGGAAACACCGCTTCAGGCGGCTGATAACAGGCTGCTTTTCTACAGATGTGGGCATCAGAGGCCGGAGGAACAGGGGCTCTTTCCATCCTGCCTCTCCCATGCTGGTGATTCCCCCCCCCCCCCAGCTGGCAGGCGCAGGCGGGCGAGCGGGCGGGGCTTTTCATCTACCGAGCGGAAACTCACGTCATGCCATCCGAGCGGGCGGAAGAGCGAGGGCGCCCATACCAGGGTGGGGTGCCCTCGGGCTGTCATTATGTGTAGTGTGTAGGAAGAGTAGTTTCCGAAACCGCAATTTGCACGACGCGGAATGAGGTTAGGGGCTGAGTGGTCGGCGGAGAGGAATTACAGGCCTCCGGAAGGTGCCGGCTGCTCCTGGCTGACCGTGCAGACCTTAATCTGATGCTGGTGTGACTTCCTTTGCCTTTCGGGTGGGACGAACCGGAGTCAACACGTTATATACATTCGGCATCTATCACACGATTTAAGGGACGTGCTCCCTCGTAAACAGCTAGGTTGTTTGGCATGGATAACAAAATAATTAAAAACCTAAACACCTGCTCTTGTCATATCTGCAAAGTTACAATTATTTAGCCATTTAACAGAAACTTATGACAAAAGGAACTTTAATATTGTGAATACTAGCATACTAACTGAAGCCAATTTACTTGATTGCCTTTTTGAACACTCAGCTACGATATCGGCTACGATATACATTTAACGTCTCTAATGTGTTTCTGTTTTTAATGTGACCTTTGAGGGCACAACACAGACAGCTATGTCAGCGATCTACTCCAAGGTGTAACAGACCTGGGGGTGCTGATTGGGTCACAGAGTGTCACTTGTTTTGTTTTTTTTTTTTACATAAAGGCTATGCTGCTGAGACAGAAAATGATTCTTTCCACAAGCTTCCCCCCCCCCCACTTTTCTGACAAAATACAGAGCTTTCGCTTTGGAAACTATGCACATCTGCTGGTGAATTGACAACCCCACAGCAATCCCTCAGGCCAGATAAGGCTCCAGTGCTAGGCTTTCTTGTCAGCGACCGTGGGATTTTGAAGACGACCTTCAAATCGACTCTCAGTGCTAGTCCAATACCTGCACATGTGCCAGAAGATGTAGATCATACTTGGTTTAAGGCAGGTTTTTGGAAACATTATTCATAAGGGACCAATGATGAGCAGTTGGATTTAAACATTTTTTGGTACAAAAAAAAAGACGGTTCTTGAAATGCATAAAATTTGAGGATGTATATATAACGTAAGCCCATTCAAATATTATGGTCAGCAATATTTACGTTATAGCTAATACTTAGACACCTATACAGCATCAAGATGACATTTAGACACTTTAGACTTAGGAAAGAACTCTTCCACAACCTGGATAACAGGTAGGAATGTTAATTTTGAGGTTTTTATATCTGCACTCTAAAACCGTCGAGTCTGGATTCAGTTGTAATATTTCATCAAATGTAAAAGGAGTATAAATTAGATGAGTGATTAGGCTAATCAGAAGGAATGCCGAGGGAAAATTGGAGCTACCCAATTAAAATCAATTAAGACATCCTGATGAAAAGGCAGCTATTTTATTCACACTGGAATGTGGCACCCTTGATAAGCACCAAACAGCATCAAAGGGAAACACTGTTTCTGGGCACGGCCTGAGATGGCCAGTGCTGGGGGTGCGGTTTGTGGTGAACTCACTGGAGGTGAATGAGGGAAGTTTTATGAGGGAAGTTTTATGAGGGAAGTTTTCAGGAAATGTGGCTGTAACTGCATCTGCATCCTTGTGTTGACCCCCTCACTGGACCACAGACACCCCAGCCAGGGCCGATCGATCCTATAAGTGGCGCAGGTGGCTGCCTAGGATGGGTAGAAGGGGGTAGGGGTGGGGTTAACCAGCCAATTTCACTTTGCCTTGGATGGGGGGGGGGGCTCCAGAGATGATGCTGATGCTTGTCTAGGGTGCCACACTGGCTAGGACCAGTGCTGAGCCCAGCAATAGGTAAAGTGCACTATACTAAACAATTACTATGACATGTTCTAACATGCCCCCATCTTCCTTCGCACATGGACTCCGGAGGAAAGCCTGCCCTCTGCTGGTAAGCCTATGCACAGTCAGAAAGAAGATGTGAATTTATTAATTATACATATTATTTAATTTAAAAACACAGCATATTACAAACTCATCCCATCCAAGTCTATCCCATTCTCCTGTCTGGGATAGACTTCAGGCCTTCCCACAACCCTAACTAGAATAAGTAGCTGAACGATGGATGGATGAGTGGCTGGATGGATACTACAAGCTCCCAAGGATGCTATACTAGATGGTTGGATATTACCAACTACATAAATATCTTGTCTTAATGTAACAAAAGAATTATAGTTTTACTAGGAATATATAAATTTCTAAAGCTAAAAATGTAAGAATGATTACAATAGTAATTTTTAACCCAGTTAGACAAGATAATGTAATACTTGTTTACACTTTTGTACGCTGTGGTTGGCACATGGAACTGTTGCAATAAAAGACGTAATTTGGTTGAGGGTTTGTCACCTAACCACTGTCTAACAGTCCCTCTCACCACAAGCCCTGACTCAACTTTTCCAATACTATTTCCCTGACTTTTTTTGGCATGCTCTTTTAAGGACTTCTGAAGGATATTTGGCAATTAAGTCTAGGTCATTGCCGGTTTTTGTTTATTTAATGGCACTTCTTTGTCACTTTCCGTTCGTCTTTACCAAATGGTTACAAGACAGCGATTGCAAAGTGTTCAGCTCTCATTAACTGTTCTGAGTGACACGCTTATCAAAGTAAAGAGAAACAGATGCGACTGCCTGTGTCTATTTTTATTCCGCTAACGGTAAGAGAGCTTTGCTCTTACAGTTAGCAGACCACCGCCCCCATTTATGGGGGGAACTGAGCAGGTGATCATTAATTTTGCTTTGGGACCTGGCACTTCGGCGCGTGACTCAACTCCGCATGACCGCCTAATGTAAACACTGCAGTCTGGCGTTTTGTGAATAAGAGGCAAATTATCACCAACTAAAATTGCCTCGGGTAACATACTGAATTTACTCTTACCGTTTGACTTATTACACTGCCTGATCCGTGACCTGCTGCCATACAGAAGTATGCGACACCCTTAATTTTTATACGTTTGTACTTTAGGCCTACGGGGGTAGACAACCCTGACCCTGCATTGCCGGTATCTAGCAGGTTTCCTATCATACCTGATGAGTTACTATCTGCCTGCGATCACGTGTGGTTCCTCAGAGACCAGGTAGGATGGAAAACCCGGAGACCGGCACTGCAGGATCAGGATTGCCTACCCCTAATGTAAAGAAGTTTTTAGCCTCTTAATTACTTTCTCTCTCCCAGCTGCTGAGTCTGATGTTCTGCTCAATGACATTCTGTTACCCTGGATATCAAACCTAGTGGTGTTTTAATAACACAAAATCAATCACTAATGTAAATGTACATTTTAATCATATTCGACTATGAGCTCACAGTCAGTCAAAATGGCAAACGTTAAGATCTTCGAATCTCCGGTGTGATCAGGTAAGACATTGGGGTCAAGTAGATATATGTTCTCACATTGTGACAGTGCATGACGAGAGATGATCACATGCGGGCCGGTCGAGGGGGTAGCCTACCTGCGACTCCGACCTGGTGGGTGGCAAAGCCAGGCAGTCGGTTCTCTCCCTCGCCCATCCACAAGGAGAGTGTTGCTCTGTCGTGCCGGGCGTGGTGAAAAGTAAAACCGTGGGAGGCTGCCACTGACAGCAAGCGACCCTGAGAGATGGGGACGCGCAGCCATGCCGCCACCCGGCCGTCCACCCTCCACTGCCGGAGAGAGTCTATATGCAGCAGAAAACCCCGTTACTCGTTATTGCTTACCTGTAATTCACCGTTTTCAATTAAACATGTACGCATTAAATCTTAAAAATCTAGGTTAAGATGCAGTGGTATTGCACATTAGGTATTGTATCAACTATGACTATTAACAAATTATTACATATTAAATGGCAGTTGTAATATTTATCTCAGACTAAATTAATGGAACCCCATAATCATCCACGTGAATTCAAACCGTCTAGGTAAATGTGTTGAAAATGTCTACTATCGGTTCCTAAACATCATTCTTTGAGGACAGCTGAGAATTCAGTGTGAATTCTTAAATTATTGGCGTTGCAGCTAGGCTTTAGGTTACACGCGAGTGTTAGATCCACTTGCCTTGCAGCAGAACATGAAACGCACTTTCAGTGACATCAGGTGGGAAGTGGCGATCGCTGAGATCCACCGTGACACCACCGAACCGGTCCACCTTTCCTGGCAACACATGGTTGTTACTATTTGTCCCTTGAAGCTGACAGTTGCTGGCATAACACGAAAAAGACCGCTCTGTCCATCGAAGTAACGATCTCTGCAAGCAGACCGATTTGTGATTCGTAAGGTTGTACTTCAGAATTGGGAATAGTCTGCTGCTTAACGCTGCCATTTTTCTTCACAAGAACAGTAAATAAACTTCGCTATCGGCAATGTAACCGTAATACTCATAATCACAGGGACATAGATACGTATGTTCACTTCTGAAAGAATGAAGACGGCATTATCTTCGTTTAGTAAATGTACTATTGTTGAGATTACAATGTTGAAAATCATCATAATAATGTACATGATATCAGACCGCTAACTGGCGTAATAAATCTCAACTGAAATATTTTTCGGTGCATGGTATACAATAATTACGGTTCCGGGAGGCGTGACCTTTAACCGGGAAGTTTTTGAAAGTAGCCGCACTAAGCATACACATGTTTAAGTTGACGATGTGCATGCGCGAGCGGTTATAGCGTTACATTCATCATGTCATCTAAAAAGAAAATTAAAAGGAAGTCCGAGAGATTAAACAGCGGCGAGAACTCAAGTGTGTTAGCTGACATTCGTGGTGAATCTCCGAGACGAGACAGTTTGGGGACTGAGCGTGGGGACACCGCGACTTGCAATGGTTCATTCACAGTGATCGACTTCATTGACAAAGGTAATATTTTGAATTTTTAGTTTGAATTTAAACGTAATAGGCACTCGAGTTTAAATCCATACTTAAATATATGAAGCTGATTTGTTTCCGAACAACTTGTTTAGGTTTACGACTTGTTGTTAACGCTACGCTGACGTTAAGCATCTTGATCCGTGCGCATAATTACGTTACTTCATGCACAATCTTCTTCTTGTCCCTGCGTTGCAATTATTATTGTAAGATCGTAAACATCAACTGGTTGTCCTACGTATAATTCTGTTTTCAGCTGATGACAAGGTTCCCAAAAAATGCCGGAGGTTTCTGGTCCAGCTCAGTTTAAACAGCATGAAATCTGCAAGTATCTGCATTGGACGTCCGGTTCTACTGTCAAGCGGGTCTGGCAAACAGGAGGTATGAAGTCAGACTACATGGTTGTTTCAATATCAAATACATTTCCATATAACGTTCTTAACTGTAACTGGTCAAAATGTTTCAAGCTTAAATCTCAAGATGTCGCGTGTTGTTGCATTGCCAGTATAGTTATGTGCATTACTTTGCCCCTTCGGAATATTGAGTGGATTGGAAATGTTTATGTAATTGCAGACTCACAGGCTCGTTCCCAAATTCCTTACCTTTGTGCCAGGTGTGTACAGCCTGGCCAACAGCTGCATTCCCAGGAGGTAAAGCCGGCCTGCAGGCAACAACCCAGCGTAACCTAGGTGTGAAGTCCGGGGACCGGGTTTCCATTGAGCCGCTGACAGGCCCTGTGCTGCAGGCTGATGTGGTCCACCTCACCTCCAGGTAAGGTTCTGGAGGTCTTCTGTGTTCCAGTGAGCTGGCTATTGCTTTGCAGATATAAGCCTTTGCGGTGTGTGAATGTATGTAAGCAGATTGATAAACCATGGTTAAAGAGCTTTAATGCCCTGATTGCATTTTAAGTCATGAGTTTGCTACTTTTATTCATAGCTACAATCAGTTGTGAAATGCATGGATGATGCAGTATGGCTGAACTCAACTCCTGGGTGATTACCTAGGAAAACAGGAGGCCAAATCCTCCCTTAAGTCACTACTGAAATGAACATTGACGAGAGAAGTTATAACAAGACATAAAATACAAGAATGTAAGAAGAATTCTTCCCTGGGATCATAAAAGTTTATCGTAATGCTTGAATTCAGAACATACAAGATTCAGATTCAGATCCTTTATTGTCATTGTATGGAGTACAATGAAATTTTAGCAGCTGTCCAGACGGTGCATTCATATAAACAAATAATATGAGCAATTTTGGATATGAGACATCACACATAAGAAATTATATCATAAACCCAGTCAGGACCTGCCTACCATAAATAGATGAGTATGTGTAATTGCCAGTGCAGTTAATACAGATAAAGCAGTTGGATGTAAACATTGTCGTTTAATGTGAGCATAGTGACAAAAATTGATGTATGGAAACTATTAGACACTGGACAGCACACAAGAGATGACATAATAAGATGATAAGTTAGGATAACACAATGAATTTGAATATTGCAGTGAGGTTGTTGTGAGTCCCAGGCCAGCAACATAGTTGACAGTGTTCAGCTCATAAGATACCATTTATGAAAATAGTTAAAAAGAGTATGTATGAGTGTGTTGGTGGTAGAGTATTTTGCATAGCTGCTTCCATGCCGTTGGCAGGTGTTACATTTCCTACCATCCCAGTATTTTATTAGTATAGTGTTTCACTGGGTAGCACTGTTTGCTGCACACCTTCAGGGTCAGTGTGTGGAGCTTGCTTGTCCTATCTGTGTTTCTGTGCTGGTTCCTTATTGCAGTCCAGTGATTTGGCCTGAACTGAATTAGGGTCTCTGAGTCTTAGTGTGAATTATCTGTATGAATATGTGCCCATCTATGGTGTTTCCTCCACTTGTACCCTTGTACCACATAAGTAGTTGCGTTAAATGGAATTGATGGTTATGAGAGTTAAAGTTACACGAGCTGCTGTCATTACTAAATTATCTAATTTGATTACCACATTTATGTTGAAACACAATAATATACAAAGAATGGGATTAACAGTTGTATTTTAATGATAGATAAACAATGAGTTTAAATAATATTAGGGTATTTTGGTGGTGGAAATCTAGCTTATACAAAATGAGTCATTATCGCCATCTGCTGGTACATTTGCATATAACAGCGAGGTTAGTGTTCCAGTACTGCGATTGTAAAAATAAAAAAATAAAAAAAAAATATATATATATATATATATATAAAAATATGAAATAAGTAAGACCTTTTTTTTCTTACAGGCAAAATATTGACACCCTCGATTTAGAAGAGTTTTCAGACTTTGTTCTGCGGTCTGTAGGTGAGGCTTAATGTTCTATATAAAGTTACAATTTTTTTCTTTTTCTTTAATGCTATATACACTGTAACTTGTGGCATCTCATTTAGGCACGCAAATTGACTAATTGCTTCTGAATTGCGTCTTTGATGCTGTTGTCTTTCAGACGGGAAAATCATTCTTCCAGGAAATCTTCTGTCCCTCTACTTCTTTGGGCGACCATGCAGTCTGAGGGTGGATGCACTGACCGGGGTGGATGGGGTTACCCTGGAGGGGGCTCCTCCTTGTGGGCCAGAAAGCGAGCCGCTGTGCTCAGAAAGTCTGGCTCTTGACCCTGATGCTACAGATGTGTCATTGCAGCTGAGCAGTCTGAACATTGAGGATGCGGATCCGGGCCCTATCTTCAGCACGCCCAGCAAGCCTCAGTCCCCCTCCCTGGATACATATGACAACGCCAACTCGTCTGATAGTTCCCTGCCTGTGCCAGCCTCACCCACAGAACAAGCAGAGGGTGATCGACCATGTGAGGTGCCCCCTGGTGGTCGAGAGAGTCATGACACATTTTACTTCATTTCCACACTGACCAAGATCAGGTTCACAAAGCAGCCTGGACAGAGCGAGGAAGATACCAGTGAGGCTCCTAAGGTCACCTACAGCATGATCGGGGGCCTCAGCAATCAGTTGGACATCATCAGGGAGGCAATCGAGCTTCCGTTGAAACATCCAGAACTGTTCAAGAGTTATGGTACACACTTTCAAATTCTATATCTGAGACTGATTTTGAGGTAGTTGTTTGATTCTTTTAAATTATGCATAGCGGAAGTAAATCTGCCTTGATTTATGTGTTTTTCAACGTTTGTAGCACAAGCACATGTTATTTTTTTCCACAGGAATTCCCCCACCCAGGGGTGTACTGCTGTATGGCCCTCCTGGGACAGGAAAGACCATGATTGGAAGAGCGATAGCCAATGAGGTCGGAGCTCACATGACTGTAATCAATGGTCCTGAAATCATGAGCAAGTATGTTAACACTCTGCCAGCTGTTCTTTATGTATTAAATCGCTTCATCCTTCGATCGCTGTATGACTGTTGCCAACGTGATTAACTTAAAATATTGGCGGTAATACAGTATAAGGATTTACGCACCATTGGCCGGCTGGAAATTTAAAATGTAGGTGAACTTCCTAGATGTCCGCCTAATCAGACTGGAGCGTTTAGCCGTGATTGCGTACGGATTTCAGAATTGGAATCGGAATCATTTATGCATTGGTAAATACTTGTATAAACTAGGAATTAATTAAAGGTGTCCTTCAAAACGAACAAAGACAATCAAGAAAATCAACAACATAAAGGAAATGCATAATTAAAACAATGTGCTCAGTGCAGATGATGTGTATAGTTATAGTTTATATTATTTTTACAGGTATTATGGAGAAACGGAGGCAAGGCTGAGACAGATCTTTGCAGAAGCCTCTCAGAGGTAAGAAGGTGAAATCGGCTCTTAATGATTTTACACCAGAAGTGGCCGATCTCATCCGCAAAGGGCCGGTGTGTATGCAGGTATTTGGGGTAACCTGTAGCTCAGCTGTTCAAACCCCGGTGTGAGGATTCTTCAGCCAATCAGTCCTCTAATGAGTGATTTAATTAGGGAGTTGCAGGGAAAACCAGCATACACACCGGCCCTTTGTGGATAAGACTGCTCACCCCTAGTTTACACCTTTCGTATGGTTGGTTTGCTTCAGTCAACCTGTCACTCAGCGAATCCTTTCTGATGTGAGGGCATGTACAGTAAAATCCTGTTATAACGGACTTCAAGGGACCTGGAAAAACAGTCCGTTATATCCAAAGTCCGTTATATCCAGAGTTGCTGTATGCCCAGAACACAACTACAGGACACCATTTACTCATGCCACACCCCAGCAGACACACTTGTGGTATAGATAATTTTTTCTGCATGTTCTTAAGTTTAATTCAGGGAATAAAAGCAGAGCAGTACACAGTACGCAAAGGTGTTTGCTATTAAGTTCTCACCATCCAAATCAATACCATTGACATACAGTAAAATCCCATTATAGTGGACTCGCTTATAACGGAATATCATCTAGAACGGACGAGGTCCGCTGGTTCCAACAGTTTGCCTTTAACTGTCTATATTGACTGGAAGTCCAGGAATGGTACAGAATGTCGGAGCGGATGAAAGCTCTGAAAGTCCCGAAGAGGAGCTTGCTTTTATTCCAATGAACCATGTCGCACCATGTTCTAACCTTCCTGACGTCCTAATGGACAGGCGGCCGGCGATCATCTTCATCGACGAACTGGACGCGCTGTTTCCGAAGCGGGAGGGGGCCCAGAACGAGGTGGAGAAGCGTGTGGTGGCTTCGCTCCTCACCCTCATGGATGGGATTGGCTCAGTGAGTAAGGGGGGGAGGGACCCCTTCTGCCATCCCGAAGCGCACATCCCAGTCACATGCAGAGCTCCACACTGTAGTAGAGTAAAAAGACGTGACGAAATATCTGTAAAAAAAATCCCTAATATGCGAATTTACAGCTTTGCAGGCCTTATGCAAGCCTAGTATGACATGTTGTGCCTTTTTCCTTTAGTATAGTTGCAGTACCGAATTATCAGACACAAGATGGCCCCTATAGACCTGCCATCATGACTGACTGATGGTTTAATCAGTTGTAGACTGATGGCCCTTTTAAATAGCAGTCTTTCTGTCCATCTCACAGCACTTCTTGTATAGATTTCAGGCCTCCTTCTCTCTTGTGTCCTGACGTGGCCCTAGTCAGCCGGTGAACTCGGCTCGAGGAGAAGGTAGGGCTCCGCTTAGCAGGAGACATTCAGATGGATCTCACCTGTTAAGCCCATCAAGTCGTGACCTGCCAAACTGGCTCAGGCTGGACACCGGCTTGGAATCTCATGTAAATAACCTGCGCTTGATGGGGGGGGGGGGGGGGCAGCCCCCCTGTTCATCTGTTCTCCAGCCCAGTGGGCTCGTGGTGTTGGCACATCACATTTTTCCTCGGAATTTGGCGAATGGACTTCCTGGTATGAATTCCAGTGCACGCCATAATTTATCCCCACTTTGGCTGCACTGTCTCCCTGGGCTTGGACTGAGGGTTGGGGAAGATGGGGGTTGGGGGTAATTTATGTCTGTGACTGCAACCTCAGAGGTCGAGCTCCGCATGCAGCCCCAGCAATGCCCTGCTTTGTTCACACGCTATACGTACCCTCTGTGAATAGGGTATATTGAATAGAAAATAATAGTTAAATAGTTAATAATAATAGTTAAAATAATAATTAATGTGGTATCAGTATTAACTTTTTTATTTGCCAACTGCATCTTGCTCTCATGAGACACAGAGATACATACAGGTGAGTGCAAGCTTGTGGGGGGGGGGTCTCAGTGCAGGGTCAGCCACACCATGCAGCGCCCCATCGCTCAGGGGCCCATGGACATGTGACACTTCTGCCGAGGCCGGGGCTTGAACCGGTGACCTTCTGATCACAGGCATAGAGGCTTAGGGACACACCGCCTTCCATACCCAGAGTATGGATCCGGTTGTCCTGGTAGCAGTAATCAGGCAGGGTTTGGGGTGGTTTCGTTTGAGATTCACTTTCACTCCCATGTCATAGGGCAAGCCTCAGTTGTATTCAAACATGAAGTACTTTCATTTAGAGCCTTTGCCTTGATCTTAATTAGTTATTTTGGGAATCAGTTATTAAGTGAAATGTGGCATTATCCCAGCTTTGTGTGGTATATACGGGCTATATGTAACCAGCTGCTACTGTGTCACTAGGTGCTTTCACTTCACCGGAACCAAAACTTTTTTCCAGAACCAGGGACTTTTATTGTGTTCACACAGCAGGAACTTGGCCTGATAGTAGTTCCTCGGAGGCAGTTCCAGAACCCTTTCTTACATATTCCAGATTAGATACTTTTCATTTGGACGCAAACTACTGGTCGGACGCTTAGAGCAACAACTTGCTGATTGGTTGACACAAGCACCGCCGCTAACTTTAAAGTTAGTGCAGGAAGTGCAGGAAAGGAGATGTAGTGGAGCAAATGATCTATTGAGTAGATGGAATTATTTTGTACCAAAATTACATTTAATGCATGAATTCATATATTTTTGACTCGCATCTTCATATTTTTGCATCGGAAAAATTGATCGCCAACCAATATACTTTTTTCTGATATCTTGCCAGCACTTATTAGCGGGATAACGTTATTATTTTTGTATTCTGTGGAAAATGAAAAAATTGCTCTGTTGGCCAGACTTAAGAATCATGATTATGTCGTGGGTCATACAAGTAAAATATGAAAGACTCTCCCATTTTGATTGAGATCGATCCCCTCAATAACTAACAAAGCGGTTTGTTCCTCCTCCATCATTTTGGGGTAGCTGGACACCGAACTTTGGTACTTTTGTGGTACCAACCGAAACACTGCAGTCTTATCCAGGATTGAAAAATTACTTTTCTTTCGGTGCTAAATTCCGATGCCCAAGCAGTAAATCTCATGCCTTGTCCACACGTACACGGGTATATTTTAAAACGTACCTTTTTCTATACGTCTTGGGCTTTCGTCCACACGTAAACGGTGTCTCGGGTCACTGAAAACGGAGCTTTTGCAAAACTCCATCCAGGGTGAAGATTTTAAGAAACTCCGTTTTCAGCGTCGACATGTAGACAGGGAAAACAGAGTTTTTGGCTCGAAACGTCAGATTGTGTGCCGTTCTCCACTTTAACGTCAGAGCGTGCGCTGTTTGCTGTATACATTAGGCGAGTTTGAGCAATGGCGGACTTAGCCGGAATAGTGCTTGTGCTAACCTTGCTGACAGGACTCCTTACATGTGTATAGATAAATGTTGAGTCACTCTCGCATTATATTGATCAACACAGGCGTCGGAATGTGCACCATGGTTTTCAAATTAACAGGACTGGCAATTAGGCTTCTGATTGGCCGCCTGTTGTTTTGGCATGCTTTTGACAGCGCATTTTAGCGGTTTCATGTGGACGCAAATTTTTTAGAAGACAATGTTCGTGTGGACTGGGATTTTTTTTTAAATGGAGGAGGAAAAACTCTGTTTTAAAATAAACCCGTGTACGTGTGGACAAGGCAACAGTGTCTAGGCGCTAATAAGCATACAGCACACTTATGTAAAGATCTAAAGTCGCTGGTGATTGGCTGTATCGTGTGACATGACACAGATATGTCATATAGGCTGGAGGAAAAATGTATGCCCAGAGACAAACTTGTGAACTGATTCACATGTGTGTTCTTGTTTTTGTTTGTTGCGTGGCGTAAAAAATGCCTAAGGAATCAAAAGTGTGGCTCCACAGGGTTCCAGGCTGCCACCATTTAGTTGCATTTTGCGACATTTTGGAGACATTGCGACTAAATTTTAGAACTAGGCGCACCAGTGCGACTTGTATGCCCCTCATGTTTGCCTGCGTCTCCAGCCAAAGCTGGCGGTGAAATGTGCCAGCGCTTGTTAGCGGGATAACGTTACATCGTTTTTTTATTCTGTGGATAATGAAAGATTGATCTGCTGGCCAGATTTGTTTATCTGGATATGAGGAATGCAGTAGGCAGGGCTCTGAAGTGTCGTGCAAAGACCGTGACACACGCTGCGTCCCTAACAGATGTAATCTTACTCCAAACCTTTGGTAAAAATTGATAGCCCTGGTAAAAAGGTCTGTTTCCCATTATGATCGAGATTGATCCCCACAGTAACTAACCAATAACTAACAAAACGCCTTTTTCAAATAAAAGATTAGTGCTGTAATGTTTAATGGATTGTTGTTGTTGAAATTGATTTAAAAACTTTTTAAAAAGTATTGTTCAGGAACTGTTATCAAAATCAAGGTTCTGTTCTGGTACTGATATTGAAAATTTTTTACTGGTGCTCAGCTCTAAGTTTCAGATGAAATTGTGTGTGAAGTTTAACCTACGAACCTTTTGTGTCTACCATGCTTATTTATCATGAAGGTTCCTGTTCCTGTTGTGCGTGTGAACGAACACACCAGAGTGGTCTGGAGCTACAAAAGTTCCAGGTCAAGACTTGTAAACTGGGACCAGGTTCCAGAACTTCAGTGTGAAAGTACTAACTTATCTCCCCCCCCCCCCTCCCTTTCAGGAGGACCATAATGGGCAGCTGCTGGTCCTGGGGGCTACCAACCGTCCACACGCCCTGGACCCTGCCCTGAGGAGGCCCGGTCGCTTCGACAAGGAGCTGGAGGTGGGGGTGCCTGGGTCGGCTGGGAGGGCAGACATTCTGCGGAAGCAGCTGAGCTGTGTGCCGTGCCGGCTAACTGAGGAAGAGCTGACTGCGCTGGCTGATGCCGCTCATGGCTACGTGGGGGCGGACCTGGCCGCCGTCTGCAAGGAGGCAGGTGAGTGTTATGGAACTGCTAATGAGCTCCGTACCGGTACAGAAGGCTAGATGCATCAATCGCTACTTAAGTAGGTAAATACAGGACTGGAAGCTGACTGAACCTGCAGCCCACCAGAACTGGGACAGAGTTACAAGTGAGGCAGATGGAGCATTTTGTCCATTCATGCATCCCTCTTTCATAGCTCCTGCATCCCATTCATGCATCCCACTTTGTAGCTCCTCTATCCCATTATTGCATCCCTCTTCATAGCTCCTGTATCTTATTCATGCATCCGTCTTTGTAGCTCCTCTATCACATTTATGCATCCCTCTTCATAGCTCTTGTATTCCATTTATGCATCCCTCTTCGTAGCTCCTCTATCCCATTTATGCATCCCTCTTCATAGCTCCTGTATTCCATTTATGCATCCCTCTTCNTGTATTCCATTTATGCATCCCTCTTCGTAGCTCCTCTATCCCATTTATGCATCCCTCTTCATAGCTCCTGTATTCCATTTATGCATCCCTCTTCGTAGCTCCTCTATCCCATTTATGCATCCCTCTTCATAGCTCCTGTATTCCATTTATGCATCCCTCTTCNTGTATTCCATTTATGCATCCCTCTTCGTAGCTCCTCTATCCCATTTATGCATCCCTCTTCATAGCTCCTGTATTCCATTTATGCATCCCTCTTCATAGCTCCTCTATCACATTTATGCATCCCTCTTCATGGCTCCTATATCCCATTCATGCATCCCTTTTCCATAACGGGAGTGCACTGAGCCTGGAGTCGGTCTCAGGGGAACACCCTGGACAGGATACTAGTAGATTTTCCACCCCTGGTTTAGGTCCTCTCTGATATTTGTCTTTTTTATATGTTCCGAATAAAATGTTCCGTATGATCCCATTAAGAGCCCTTTCTGGAGCTGCTTCGGCTACTTCAGAGCCTGTTACCTTCCATGGTTTCTTTGGCATCAGAACACTGCAGCCCTTGGAGGGGAGGAATCGCGCAGTCTGTTGCTGCACGTTGAAGAGACGGGCCCGCCGGTACGTCCCAGGAATGTTCCTTCCGGCACTCTTGCCGGAGGACCCTGGGTGGTCCTGGCGACCGGGCCTATTGCATTACCAGCTGGGCTTGAGTGGACGCGTGCCGGCCGGCAGTCTGATTTACCGCCTGCATGGAGGCTTGACTCCTCTGCGGTGTTTTTTCAAAAACGGCTTTTCGCTCTCACTCCCGGTAGAGCGACAGACCAAGACATACATGATCTGAGCACGAGTCCAAAAGATGATAACCCTCGCAGATGAGCGGAGCATGTCTATCCCATATCCGTTTTTTTTTGGTTAGATGGCTTGAACCTCGATGGTAAATGGTCTAGCTGTAACAGATAGCTTTAATTGGCCTCCCCTGGAATTGCCCATGACTCAATGATGGGGTTCCTGTGTCTAGCAGTAGGTCTGCTTCGGCCGGCCCAAGCCTCTGCCTTCATGTGGCACATACTCAGAACCATGTCCTGCAGTCAGTTCAGACCAACCAGACCAGTCACTAAGGGTTTCAGTTGTGTGATTATTAACTGAGACCATACGAGGGGCCCGAAACATGGAAACTTAACATGTTCGACAGACCAACTTAAAACAAGGAGCTGAACTTCACCTAGACTATATATCTAGCAAGTAAACATCACCAAAATTGATTTAAAGGTTCAGATTAAGATTCAGATCCTTCCATTGTCATTGTACGTTCAACAAAATTTTACCAGCAGTCCAATTCACACAAAGTAGTATAAACAATATAAGACAACACACGGGGCATAACGAATAATACCGTAAACCCACCGTGGACCACCGTATGAATAGATGGCTAAGGTGCAAATTCGGAAATGCGAATTACGATTCAGAATGAGAAACTGTGGTAGCGAAAGAGTGATGCTTCCGGAAAGTCTGTAGGTTCCTTTTAAGGTCTCCCTGCTTTCTGGCTTTGCAGCCTACTGGGCTTCAGGACCAGTCCAGTCTAGCATTATCAGTATTTTTTCCTCTTAACATGTCAGGAGGAAAGATGTATTTTCAAAAAAAAAACAAAAAACCTTACATTACAAGGGGCTGCAGTTGTTTCCCTTCTTCAGGTAACAATGACCAGCAAAAGGAACATGCCCAGCACCCCCCTCCCTTCCTGGGGCGTTTGGAAGCACTGCTTCATGTTGCGTGACCTTGTCCAGCTGCTTACTCTCAAGATTGAGCCAGCTCCACATCCTTCTCCCCTCACAATAGTACCCAGCTTAATTTATCTCCTCACCACATCCATGCAAATCCCCCTCTCTATTTTTATGCCCCACTAAGCTTGCGGGGGCGTGCCACTCCCCAAACAAAGCAAGACGGCCGCCAAGATAGACTCAAAGTGACCATGGTGGCTGCAGAAATGCACGCTGAAGGTCCACATTTACTTGGAGAAGGACCACAGTAATACCAGGATCTCCACTGCGATATGTGTCTCTACTATTTATGGCAGTATAGGTTTTGAATATTAATAGCCAAACCAAAACAGCCTTTAGACATATAATATTTTGAAAAACGTTGCCTTGGCTTACTGTACTCTCTTCAAATCGGTAAATGATTGTCTAAATTATGACCTCTTGTGGAGACTCTTGGTACTGCTTGAATTTGGTGTATAACTATGGCCTTTTCTGTGGTTTTATGATGATATGTCAAAAAACGGTTCAGCAACGAGTCATAAATGATTCCAGTTTTTTTTTTTAATATCCATTTTCTGCACTGGACTTGTTTCCAGGCGGCGTAGTGACGCAGTGGTTAGCGCTGCTGCCTCATAGCAGGAAGGTCCTGGGTTCGGTCCTGGCTCCTTTCTGTGTGGAGTTCGTGTTTGCGTGGGTTTTCGCCGGGGAATCCGGTTTTCTCCCACGGTCCAAAAGCTTGCAGGATAGGTTGATTGGTGAGTCTCAATTGGCCCTGTAGTTGTGTGTGTGTGTGTGTGTTTGCCCTGTGGTGTGTTAGCGACTGCACGGGGTTGGTTCCCGCCTGCGCCCATTGTTCCCGGGATAGGCTCCGGTCGTCACCCCCCTTCGCGACCCCAGTTGGGGTTAAGTGGTTTCAGAAAATGGATGGATGGATGGACTTGTTTCCGCGCAGCGCTCGTCTTGTTTGTCTCTTGTTGATTTGGTTTTGGTTCCTCTTTCAACGGTGAACTTGTGGATGGATGATTTTGGCGTCTTTTGGGGTAAATGAATCACTCCTTCTGTCCAAACAGTATGAATGAGCGTGCAGCCTGGCTGTGTACACTGTTGCGGATATTCCTAAACAGCCAGGGAAGAAACGCAGGGGGTGTGTGCAGAAAGACCGCTGCTTGTATGTTTTAATCACGCAGCGATCAAATTAACCGGCCCTCCCGTCATCACATCGCTTCTGTATTTTGTGCATTTATTTTTTTGAACAAAAGCTTATTTTTACTAAAAGTTTTTTTTTTTTTATTATTAAAATATATGCGTGTTATCTTTCACGTTTGCTTGTGTCCGACTGAGTGATTTTCTTTGGTTATCAAAAACGAAAAGAATGAATCGATATCACCATATCGTCTGTGTCCCGGCTTAATTTATCTAATTGAAGGAGTACGATGTTACTGGGGGGAAACAGTTTCTGAATTTCATACTGCAATGAAATGTTTAAATAAATTAATGAAAAACGAACCGCAACGCAGTATTTGATATAAATCCCGAAGTAAAGACGTGAACGACATAAACACAGCTAAATGCTAGATGATGTTTAGAAAGGCTGCCTTCCTTATATAGTGGTTTCCACCAGCCCTCTTTGCCTTCTAAGGCTTTGTGTGACATTTCGGTTCCGACCAACATAAATATTGGCGGAGCGGCGCGCGAGGTTCACTTCAGCCCACGTGTTTATAAAATCCGGAAATGTTCGCCTTCTGCCCGCGCGGCTCGCCCGGTGGCAGCGCGTGCGCTCGGCCACGCGCGTCAGTGCGCAGTAACACTTGTCGGTTGTTATAAATACAGGTGCCGCGAGCCGACCGGAAGCACGCCGCGCGGTGAAGGCAGCCACTTATTTATTTTTCTTTCCTTTTTTTATTTTTTTTATTTTTTTAATTTTTTTAAATGTATATTTAGGTTTCGTGATGGCACAGTGCCCGGGGGGGGGGGGGCTCCCGGCTTTTTTATGTTTTTTC